CCTTACTTTTTTGTTAACAGTGCCTTTAATAGAGCCCATCGGCGATGGCAGTTGAGAAGCCCACGGTATACGGTTCCGGCGTAGTTTCTTCCAACTTCCTTTCGGTTCTAGAGGCAGCCCGGAATTCTTGTCCGTAGGTTGTGCTCGTCGTAGGCAGTCGTGACCATGGCACGATTTCGTTTTCAAACAGTCTAAGCAACTTTTTCAAGAGAGTCGGTGAGAAATGAAACTATCACCAAGCACCTTTTGCTGTTTCAACGATTGCGATTATCCATAAAATACATTCATGGCTCATCGACATAAATATCTCGCATGCTCCAAGTTTCAGCGGAGAAATACGCACAATAGGCACGCCATATTTTTTTGTCATTCTGGGTAATTTTTGTTAACTCGATTTCGTAAACCAGGTGTTTTTTAGTAATGGATAGCTGAAGATACTGATTCCCGAATTCTCAGGAGACTTCCACGACTTGTTGAATCTCGTCATTGGCGATGATAAGGCTCAAGAAGATAGCCGCAGTGGCAACACTTCTGGTAAGAAAAGGCCATATTCCTATAGGACATCTATCGGCTACTTTCAGCTTATTTTAATCGGTGTTTTCGTTGGGGACAACGAAACAAGATTTCTCGTGCTGATTGGGTTTTTCTTGGGATTAATACTTGGAGTGATAATTAAAGAAGACAGACCGTTTGTTGTACATCATACACGAAGGCGATAATTTCGGTAAATTCTGATCTTCTGTTTTCCATTATTGAAATCTTTACAGAAGAATAGATGTTTTCATCTTTTAGAAAAGAAATTATGATTAACAAACCCCATTCAAGTGTGTAGGCATTGATTTCATTTTTTCCAGGTGAAGCCGAGCTGACGTGCGGATTGTTCGGTTTGGTAATGACTCTTAGGCTTATAGCTGATATGGAGCGAAAGGTGTGGGTTCAGTGCTGGCTTTGCAGTCTTAACAAATTCCTCTGGCTTGCCCAAAAAGAAGGTTTGTCGACTTTACAGAGTAGGCAACACTTAGCTTCCTATATATACCATTCGCATCTTTCAAACGACAAAGGATTATCAGAAGTGAAAAGTTGAGAATCGAAATCAGTCCCTTTACATTTTCTCATCAATTATGCATCCTCTTATCTATATCGCTTTCTGTGTAACCTTCCCAATACTGGGCACGAAAAGACAAGTTGAAGTAAATATTCTGTTAATACTTTTGACTGGTTGACTTTGATGTTAGTCTTTTGACGTTGATCATTAAAACCAACAAATTAGAGTGCTTTCTGTATTCGGCTGGATCGAATTGGATGGGCTGTGGCGATAATTAAACTTATAATGCATATTATGTGTAATGTGTAATAATGTTGTATTTCAGATAAATTGGTTGATGCTTTGATTCAGAATCGCTGAGTATTTGTAGGCATACTAGCCTTTTGCGTTATCCTGAGAAAACACACTCCTTGTGAGCTTTCAAGAACCTAAAGGCACAGTTCATGAATGTTGTATTTCAGATAAATTGGTTGATGCTTTGATTCAGAATCGCTGAGTATTTGTAGGCATACTAGCCTTTTGCGTTATCCTGAGAAAACACACTCCTTGTGAGCTTTCAAGAACCTAAAGGCACAGTTCATGATGAAATTGGCTAATAAGATATTCCGCTAGAACGAACTTGTGTACCCCTGTATGCCGTATGTGGCGCTGTCATACCTGAAAACCTAAATAGGGCGTTAGAAAGGCTCAAAGATTGTCCCGCTCGTGTGCGCGAATGAGTTTCACAGGCATTGGAGAGGCTGCACCGTTCTTAAGGCAATCCATATAGAAAGCTCAAACAATTTGTCATAACGAATAGCGACAGTGAGAGTGTGATAGTGTTAGTGCATAATACGAGTTTTTAATGAAGGTGATGCATACCGCCATCGACTACTATGTTCCTTGTTAGCGGACGACCACGTTTAAGTCCATCCCTTTACCGCGGAACTTGAGGAACATGAGTGAGCATAGGGACTGTCTTATTTATGAAGCAAGAAGGACCGGGGTTTGGTCAAAGTATATTGAATTCACAAAACGTTTTCTTTCCCCTCTCAGAAAGTACTTCAGCAGTATGGAAAAGAAAATTGTGGAAGCTCAGCGTAAAAGAAGCTTCTGCAGGTATTTGAATAGTAAAATACGGGATAGAAGGTGCATTGGGTTTCTGAAGAGTGGTGATCTCATAGCGTGTAGTCTAGCAGACAAGATCAACATGTTTGCTGATCAGTTTGAAGTTTGAAGGAGCTGCCATGGTTCTACGGGAATCAGCTGTATGAACGGATCATGCGTTGACACCTGACTTCATACCGCTAGCTTTCATGCAAAATATAGCTGATATTATATCTGAGCCGTTGACGTATGTATACTTTCAATCAGACACCTATTAGTGGAGAAGTACCGCAACGCTGGAAGCACTCTTTCATCACCCCTGTTCTTGAGAAGGACCCTTCATCGGACCCGGCAAACTATCGACCTGTCAGCATCACAACTTTGTTTTGCAGACTCTTTGAGAAAACTATCAAAGAGCATATTCTTCGGTATTTTGCCGCTCACGGTATCATACCACGAGCCCAACATAGTTTTATCCCTGGGAGGTCGGTTGATACAAATATGATTGAGAGTTTGGATAGCTGGACCGCCGCGCTCGACAACAATTTTTGCTGTGATGTCATATACTTTGACTTTGCAAAAGCCTTCGATAGGGTGTCTCACAGTAAACTTGTTCACAAGCTAGGGGTCTGGGGTTTTCATCTTACTTTTGTGAAATGGATTTCTAATTATCTACATGGCAGAACCTTTCGAGTTCGAGTAGGGCAGGCATGCGCATGAGAGTGTTGAGTGGAGTGTCGCAAGGAGGGGTTCTTTCTCCTGTGCTGTTTGATTTGTGCACCGCTGAGATACCTAATTCATTCGATGGGTTACATCTCGTAACGAGAATGCATGCTGACAGTGTAAAGATTTTTAAAGTGGTTACCGAGCTCAAGGAACGGGAGGTGATAGAGCAGGCCATTAACTCGTTTAGTGACTGGGCTAAGCGGTGGCAGCTCCCCTTGGCCCCGCATAAAACGATGTATATGACGATTGGCAACAATCCTGAACAAGTCCATCCTTCTCAAAGCTCATAAGGCATATGTCCGCCCTCTGGTTGAGAGTAGTGCCACTGTGCCACAGTGTTCCATCCCAACAGGAGGAAGATGTCATTACCCTTGAAAAAGTCCGAAATAACTTTACGTGTAAGATTCTCTCACGATGCAGATGCTTCCCCTATACTGGTATTCCTAAAACCTCCATTCGTAACAGATATCTTGAACTCTAAACATTGGAATCACGACACAAGCTGTTTGATGTGTGTATGGTTCACAAACTTCTGTACCACTGTAATGACTTTGGCTCCTTCGATGTTTGTAATAAAATACATTCCCGAACGAAAGGTGGGCATACTAAAATTGCTGGGCCTAGAAACAATTGAAGAGCAAGGAGTTTCACTTTCGCAGCTGATAGTATGTACATAAAAGTAACCACAAATCTGATCGTCCCTGGGGCTTTGAATAGATTCAAGACAAGACATAACGAAAGACAATTCTGGACAAATTTGGCTTGATATAGTCACCTCTTTGCGCAAATGCAGCAACTGGGATTTCGTTCCAATTCCCCTTCCATGTCATTTTCGTCACGGTAATCTCGCACAGCCTTTATTTTCACCACTCTTGAACAGCCTTACTATTCGCAAAATCGACGAATGTTCTCGCTTCCTTCACTGCCGATACACTGTTTCCGACCCGTACTTCCCCTTTTCGTGTTAAAACAAGTACCCCAAAATTATCATTAACTGTGCCTCTAGCTACCTCGAGTTATGCGAGTTCTGTACAACTCATGGGGTACGACCCTAAAAAGGGAACTGCTACTGGCTCGTACAGCTGTTGTATATACCTCCCTTACCTTCAAAGCGATGGTACTTCCGGCTACCCAACTAGCCTATCGTGAAAGTGCTCAAGTCCCCACTCGTTTCTAATGTCACTCTCATGAACAGCTTCTCTGGAGTTTGCAAAACAGGCTTTTTATGCACATTTTACGTAGTGAATTCAACTCAGACTATCTACAAGATGAATAACTATGGAATGAAAAGGTTGATGCCATGTTGTACGACCATGAAACAGAAATCGAAAAAGCGTGCGAAAAGGCTCATTTAGAAATTTGTTGGGCGCTTCTATCTAAGTATAAGATTCTAACCTCTAACGGTAAAAACAGCAGTTATAAGCGGACGCTGATTACCGCTATTCTTAACACTAGAGATTTCTCTTTGATTCCATGGTCTTTGATTTTCCTTCAGATTTTCGTTTACCTTTACCGATTGTGCGCATAGCGCTTGCGCACGCTCCACCCATTTTAGAACTCACTGTTAGTCATTCTTCACCATGCTCACTCCATCAGCTATGCTTATATTTTTATTCCAGGTGTCTTCACTTAANTTAAGTCATGTCGAAGAGCCTTTTATCGATGACAAAATTCTTTTTTCTAGCACGCTTGCAAATTTCATAGATAAACGAGCTACATTTTTCTTCAACACTCACATTATTTCGAGAGTCAGTAATTGCCATGATTTCCTATTTAGCTTCGTTCGATGTTCCATTTAGTAGTGATAACTTGAGTAGTTTTACAATGCATATATTTTCAGGGATAGTATCGTGCGAAACGTTCATATATCGTTTCTCAGCAATAGACTCCCTCACATCAAAAACGTCCTTTCAATTTTTATCAGTAATCCGCAGTGCTCGCTAACAATTTTTGTGGGTCCCAGTGGAATGAAGTCAACCAACTACATCCCCTCTTTCGCAGAGGTTCACAGTTCACAAGCTGCCTAACACTTTCTTTAGGAAATTCTGGTGTATTCTGCTACTCATTTACTGGGAAGTAGCTACATTTTTCTGAACAGTGACGCCATTGCAACGAAGATATGAAAGGTACAAATCATCGCTTCCTCGAACGATATGACGTCTTACGAGCATTGATGACTACTACAGTGCTTACTAAAATACATTAAACTAAACGGTGGTTATATGTACAGAAGGAATTTTTTAGCCTCCGAACGAACTCAACGATTTTAGAAAAAAATTTTTTGTATGTCATGAAATGTAGAAGACTTCATTTTTGAGTTTGCCTTGTGCAATGATGTTGACTGATTTGACCGTGTATTCCAGCAGGCTGCAGACACCAGAGAGGCCTTGCGAGAACAAGTTTTT